CGTTTTTTTATGTTCCTCAAATGCCTACTGTCAAACTAAACCAAAGTTCTGAAAGGTTTCAAACACTTCCAAGTTTGGGTAAGTTAATATAGTTCCTGATTCGAGTGTGGCCTGGGGGCCAGGTACCCAAGAGCCTTTTCTCCCAGCCTAAGTGTGGACTTTGGTTTGTCAGAGCAGCTTTGAAAAATTCATACACTCCAGGGATTCTGATGATGTGGAGAGGACTTTATAAACCTAGAATTCTATTTCCAGCTGTCTTCTCTTGCATGGGGTAAGGAGGACAACTTCAGCTTCTCTGGATCGTTTTGAAAATTTTCCACCCAGGAGCAAAAAGGCACAGGATGAATGATTAAAAAAAAAAAAAAAAAAAAAAAAAAAAAAAAAAAAAAAAAAAAAAAGGTAAGAGCCACAACTTGCCCGTTTCAAATGCTCTCCTCCTACACCCAGAACCCCTACTGACTTCACAAAGGAAACAACTTGCACGAAAGTGGCCCATGTGGGAAACAGGGGACTAGAAATTACCCACAGCTCCTGACTGGGAGTTATCAATAGACCCATGTAATCATAATGTCATTACTTTGTTTTCACTGGATGACAGAGTTTTTGCAGTATCATTTGCTCTTGGCAGACCATATATCATCATTCTCCTCCCCTTAGTAATTTCTTCGCTGCAAGAAAAACTCTGGAAACCATCTTGAGAAATGGTGAAAAATACTTCCTTTTCATTTACAACTGCTTTTTTATGCACTTACTGTCAAAAGTTATAAACGAAAAGTTATGTGAGCCAACCAGGGAGGATTTGGGCAGTATAAATGCCTATCAGAAGAAAAAAATCTAGGTGCATTATTTAACAAGGTGTTTACAGGTAGCTCCAGAACCACAATATAAACACCCAATCATACCTCAAATATGGCACTTGTCATTCAAAGTATAACTCAGAGACCTTTTTTTACTTTTATTCTCCCACACAGTTTGTTGTAGAATCTCTTCATAATTTATGCATTTATTAACCAAACTTATTTCCTTAAGGTGGGGGTTAATAAGGAGGTATGCTGTAGACAAAGCATACTGTGAGGTTATCAAGACATTTTTTTAAAAATCTCTTTTAATAACTTTGCATTCAACTTGAAAAAATAAGGATTTTGCAGCAACTCTTTTCATAGGCTGGGCAACTGTTCTCCAACTGCTCTGAATAATGGGCTGGCGGCAAGATGGAGGAAAGTGCTAGAGGTGTGGCAGAAAGTTCTGTCCTTGCCCTGCATGGCAGTAACACTTTAGGAGCAGACACCAGGGTCAGGCTCACCGAATTAAAATAAAACAGCAGTCTCCCTGTCTGGAAAGAAGGAGTCAGAACTCAGAAAAATGGACTCTGGACTCAGAAAAATCTGTTTGAATTCTGGCTCTCCTACTACAAAAGCATATGATGTCCATGTAAGTCAAGGACATTAACTAGCCTAATATACTTTGCCACGACCATATCCCATCTGGAGCACTGTGTTCAGTTCTGTGCACCGCATTTTTTGAAAGAATATTTATAAAATATAGTAAAACCTGAAAAGTAAATCAGAAGGGTGAAAGGCTTACATAAGTGAGGGCTAAAGAAGGCAGGAATGATAAGGCTAAAAGAGAGAATTTTAGGAAGAATACAATTGCCCTCAAACATATAAAGGGCAGTGAAAACTCAAAGAGTAATCATAACTAATATGTGCTCAGTACTCAATATGTGTAAAGTACTCAGTGTTATTCACATTCTGCAGGTGAGAAAGCACAGGCCCAGAGGCCGAGTTATACGCTCACAGTCACATAATTTGGATGGGTGGAGCCAGAGCTCATCCCAATAGTCTGGCCCCAGGTATAGGGGAGATATGAAAGCTATACTCCAAATACTTTGTTTTGGTTTTTTTTTCATTTTTTATTATTTTTTTAAGTAAGCTCTATGCCCAAAATGAGGCTCGAACTCATAGCCCTGAGATCAAGCGTCACATGCTCCACCCACTGAGCCAGCCAGGAACCCCTCCAAATATTTCTAATCTCTGTCTTACAGGATCATGGTAAGATTGCACCCTCCCAATTCTTTTGGACACAGGTTAGTGATTTGCCAATGACATGTGAACCTAAGTCATGTTCACAACCTCAGCAAGGGAGTTCCAGAGCCTATGAGCAACACGCCCATGTTCTTCCTAACATGAGAGCATAGAGGTGAAACCTCCATCAGTCTAGGTCCCTGGGGGGAAATGATGGGCAGAGCTGCCCTGTGACCCATGGTGGACAAGTAACAGGAGCAAGAAATCAACTGTGACTGTTTCGTTAAGCCACTGAGATGTGGGGATTGCTTGTTACTGTGGCAATACCCAACTTTTCTGACAGATAAACAAACCCACATGCTTCAAGTCATTAAAATACCTCAGAAATTTAAAAAAAAACTCTATTCTTATATTTTAAAAGGTCAGAACCTAGAATAGTTTATAGAAACCACAAGTAGGCAGATTTGGGTTTAATTTAATTTTTTTAAAGTGACGTTTTCTGAAAGCTGCTTCACAAGGTACAGGCTCACTGAAAATGGTGGTATTTATTTTTTTTTAAAATTTTTTTTTCAACGTTTTTTTTTTTTTTTATTTATTTTGGGGACAGAGAGAGACAGAGCATGAACGGGGGAGGGGCAGAGAGAGAGGGAGACACAGAATCGGAAGCAGGCTCCAGGCTCTGAGCCATCAGCCCAGAGCCCGATGCGGGGCTCGAACTCACGGACCGCGAGATCGTGACCTGGCTGAAGCCGGACGCTTAACCGACTGCGCCACCCAGGCGCCCCTGAAAATGGTGGTATTTAAATAAGAGGCCAAAAGGGGCAGCTGGCTGGCTCAGTCAGTAGAGCATGGGACTCTTGACCTTGGGGTTGTGAATTCAAACCCCACATTGGGCCTAGAGTTTACTTCTAAAACATTCAAAACTAAAATATAAAAAATAAATGAGAGACCAGACAATCATTCTGCATCTATGTAGCAAAAAATATGGATTCATTAAGGAGGTTTAATATACCAGCCATTTCTGGAACACCTCCAGTGTTCCAGGCATTTCAGCTATAGTGATAAATCCAAACACACAATCCCTTCCCTCAAGGAAATAGCCATCATGAACAGAAGTAGATAAGGTCTGCTGACTCTTGTAGCAGTGTGATTCAACCAAATTAGAGATAATAACAGGGCCTGAATGAAGCTGACAGCAAGCCTGAACTTACAAATAACCATGTAGCACTAGAAATCCTGCTGATGCTTAAGTTGTATTATTATTTTTCAATTAGGAGCCAAAAGTATAGGGTTTGCAAAAGGAAAGAAAACGAAGAGAATGTCTGGGTTTAAAGGAGGAACATTTTCCCTTTCTCTAGTTACCATCCTTAAATCTTGCAAACCAGGCATATTATCTGGCTTACATCAGGGGTGTTCCAGCAAAGGGAATAGCACTGACTCACAGCAATTGTTACCGACCTTTTCCATCACTTTTCCCACCCCTTAGAGTCAGGAAGGGAACATTTCAATAGGGATCAGCTCAGACCTGAAGAGAGGCGATAATCTTCCTGGAACGCCATTCTTAAGTTTAGAAATCAGCCACAGCTTTTCCAAAATATCCGAAGTTTTTCCTAAAAGGGTATTTGAGCAGGGCCTACAGGGATCCCATACTCTAAGGATGATATGAAAATCACCAACTAAACGAGTGATTCCAAGGGGCACGGACATTGTTTCCCAAAGGTGTCTTTACACAATACTAACTTCAGTGCTTTCTTTCCCTAGTGGTATCAATAATTAAAGCTTTGTTTATTTTTTTAAACTTCCCAAAATCAAACAGTGCAGAGATATGCCTTCCTTTGACTGCCTCACTGCATTTGAATGGAAAAACATCTAAAACTTGGGTAAGCATTAACTGTAATTGCTCTGGGGCAGACATTTCCATTTTGGGTTATTATTCATACCAGTATTCACAGAGAATAATATATGTGGATGGATTTTGCAGCCATTATCTACACAAGAGTGACGTATCTGATTACTATTGTTCCCCAACTCAAAAGCATCAGTTTGAACTTCGAATACTCCAGCCCTGCCCAGACCCTGAATTTTCTGAACTACGGTTCTGATTTTCTATGAAATAAACAAATAGATGAGAGCAGGCTGGATTTCAGTGCCATACCTTCAGCCAGTTCAGGGTGTCACGAGTTTCTCAAAAACACACATACAGAAGAAATTGGCTTTGGCACATGGAAAAGCAGCAGAGAATTTGCAGCTTGTGCTAGTTTAAAGTGCACCCTTAATACTCTTGCCTGTTTTCAAAAATAAGTGATAGTCTTCCAGAGACAGCTGGATCCCTGTGGTACCCAGTCTTGCAACAAGCTTTGTACACAAATGTACACTTTACAAACACAGATGTGAAATGTCGACCTAGGACAGAAGAGAGGCACGCAGATGAGGGTGTTTAGTCTAGTGGCTCCACACCCGAAAGTTTCAGGGACAGAGCTGATGTTTCAAAAGTAAGAGGGGGGACCGCCCATCCTGTACGTTCATCCGGGGACTATGGAGATGACCCCCATCTTCCCAGCGCCAGTGTGCCCTCTGCCCTGGTGACCCGGGTTGAGATTTAATCGAGGGCCAGAGTGGGGCCAAGACAATTGTGCCAGTGGTTACTCAGACGGAGAGAAGGGCTAGAAATCACGAAGCCTTCCTGGCTGGCCCGGCTGACACACCCACCCAGACCCGCCGGCCCGGGGGTGCTGCGGGGAAGCGGGGGAAACCCGCGCACCCGGGTCCCGCGCCCACGAAGATGCTGCAGTTAGGAACCCGCGCGAATATCGGTCCGGGCTGAGAGGTCGCGCTACGCTCAGCAGAGGATGCCCTTCACCTCCCTGTCCCCCTTCCCCCGAGCTGAGTGAGCGGGAGAAAGTTGTGCCCGGGCCGCGTCGCCCCGGGCTGCCAAGGGAGCGAGGGCGGGAGGAGGAGAGCCGCGGGCCCCCTTACCTTGTCCTTGGGGCCGAGGTTCTGCAAAACCTCCTTGCCGGTGGCGCTCCGGATCTCCACCCCGGCGGGCGCGGGCGACGCGGGCGACGCGGGCGCGGGCTCCCTGCCCTCCTCCCGGCCTTGGCCCCGGCGCGGGGTGTCCCCCTCCACTCCCGGCCGGCTCCCGGAGCCGCGGCCGCTGCCCTGGCTGCTCCGGGGAGTCTTCGCGCCCCGCTGCCCCACGCTCAGGGCATCGAAATCCAGCGTCTTGCTCTCGAAGGCGCCCTCCACGTTGCAGAACATTCCGCCGTACTTCTGCCGCGGGACCTGGTCCGTGGTGCCCGGCCTGGCCAGGTACACGGGCAGATCGTCCTCGTGGGAGCTGTCCCAGCCCCTCCGGCCCGAGGCCATGGTTCAGGCGCACGGCGGGCCCGCGGCTTTGCTCCCCCAGAGGCGGAAAGGGCAGCCGCCGGCAGCGTGCTCCGAGCCACAGTGACTGGGGCGGGAGGAGGCGCCTGAGCGTTCGCGCCAGAGGCGGCAGTGCAGCTCCGGTTGCTGCCAGTCCCCAGCCAGCCAGCGAGCGCGCGGCGCAGGGGCCGGGGCAGCGGCGCGCTCCGGCTCGGGACCTGTCGCCCGCCCGCCGCCCCTCGGCGCGCACCCGACCCTAACGTGGCCTCGCAGGGTCGCGCGGCCTGGGGGCCCCTTGGAAAGTAGAAATCCCAACTTGGCGCGCGCGCACACACACGCACGCACGCTTCCCGCTCGCCCAGCGGCCCCCAGATTCACACTCAAGAACTCGCCTCTCTCGCACAGGCACAGAAACCCTCTTTCACCCACACTGACTTCCGAGTGTGCCTCTCAAACACAAACCTCTCTGCCCCGCTCGTGCACGCAAACCTAGTGGGCTCAGGTGTGTTCGTGTCAAAGCCGGGCTCTGATTTACAACAACACGCACCCACACAGATGTGCCAGACTCACAATCCTAGACTTTGCTTACCCATAATCCCAGATTTGTCTCCTCCTCATCTTAGAATTGTCTCACAATTGTCCCCGCTTCTAGAATCTGCCTCACAAACCTGCATCCTCAAATAAAGAACCTCTGAATCGGTACCCTCTTCAATGACGATCACAAAAGCCTGTAATTGACTCACAGACAAATCTACCCTCGAACCATTCTCACCTCATATTTAGCACCCTAGATTTTGCTTTTTAAGCACCCATAATTTGCCTCCCAGACAATTACATTATAGGTCAAAGGCATGCACAGGTCCCTGGGTTGTGCCTTGCAGAATACTTCCAATACCCTGTCCTCATACAACCAACCCACCGCTAATACCCCACAAGCTGACTGAAGCTCAGGTTTACGCCAGTCAGAACCCTCCACGTGGACTCACACATCAGCTAAGATTTACCTCAAAAATACACAACCAAAGACTTTGCCTTGCGCGTTACCTCAGTTCCACACAGATTTTGCTTATGTATATGCCTGCTCTCACAGCCTCATTCTCTTCCCCCTTGTCCACCAACATATACTCTAACCCAGACTTTGCCAGTAAACAGAGTCCTCGAACCTGCAGAGCTCGTATGGTATCTGCACACAGAGCCTAAATCAAGAATCTGCAGCGCCCACATTAAACTAGACCCCCTTTCAGAATTTCACTCCTTTAGTCATTCATCCAGTGTGAACTGAAGGCCTGCCGTGCTCTTCACAAGATACTAAAGGGACAGTGTTTAACAAGGCAGATGGGGTCCTGTCCTCACCAAGAGTGTAGTCTCCAGCCACCCACCTAGGGAGCACAATCAATCACTATTCCGCATGACATACTAAACTTTATTTCCTGAACCCCGCCACTACATCATAGGCTCCATGAAGTCCAAGAGCTGGTCTGTTTAGTTTACTATGAAATATCTTGAGTCCAAAACATCTGCAGGCACATAATAGGAGCTCCGTAAATCCTTTTTGAATAAATGGTAATGATAATAATAACAAGTGCAGCAACAGGGAACATTTATGGAGCTGTTGCTGTGTGCCAGTCACTACTGTAATTGTGTCACATATAGTAACTCACTTAAAGCTCATCAGCATATGGCAGGCTTCTTTGTGCACACAGACACTATCTTTGAAGGCATCTGCAATCAATTTGGTCGACTGAAACTTGCAACCGCAATTTTGGAGAGTAACTAGGATATTGGAAAACGGGATTTCGATAGCAGGATCGTGACAGTCATGAAAAGTTGGGGGATGAGGTTGACCTGAACTCTGATCACAGACAAGTATGTCGACACAGGTTTTACTTGTCCCCCATCCCCATGAGGAGAAAGACTCTTGCTTCATTCACTGCATGTGCTCTATCACATTATTCCTGATTTCTTTAGCAGACTGCCTCTGGGAAGCTGCCTCCTTCTTAACAAATGCTGGTGGCTGACAGACCCAGAAATTCATGTGACAGGTTGGTAATATAGGCTCTTCCATCCCTCTTTGCTCACACAGGTTACTTCCTTCCTCTTCCCCGTTGCTTTCAAACTCTTCTTCACTCATTAACTCATTTACAGACTTTTAGGGGGACACTTGCTATGTGTCCAGCATTGTCCTGGGTTCCCTCCTCTGTGGAACATAATTCTAATAGGGGCAAAGAGATGATAAATAAGAAAGGTCAGTTCAGATTGTCAATCATAAGAGTTATGAGACATAACATAGAGAAAAAGATAGCCAACTTTTAATTTTTTTTTAATGTTTATTTATTTTTGAGAGACTGAGAGAGACAGAGCATGAGTGGGGGAGAGGCAGAGGGAGAGGGAGACAGAGAATCTGAAGCAGGCTCCAGGCTCTGAGCTGTCAGCACAGAGCCCGACACGGGGCTCGAACCCACGAACCACGAGATCATGACCTGAGCTGAAGTCGGACACTTAACCGAGTGAGCCACCCAGGGGCCCCTAAGATAGCCAACTTTTAGATTGTTTGGTCAGGAGAGTCTTCCCTCTCTGACTCCTCACAAACACCACGGGCACCAGCACGGTGCCCCATCAGCAAGGGCAACAATAAAGATATTAGCTAACATTTATTAGGACTTTATTCTGTGCCAGGCTCAGTGCTAAGGACTTTCCATACACTATCTTAAATTCTGATTAGTAATCTCTTAATTAATAATACTACAAGTCATGTACTATTATTTCTATTTTACTAGCAAGGAGGCTGAGGCTCTGAGTGAGTGCCCAGGTTGTGACAGAACCATAACTAGAAGGAAGATATGCGCAAAGAGTCTGAAGTTTCCTTTGAGAGGGGAACATTCTGAATGTAGATGCGTGCCTGTCTGTGCTTAGGTGTGTGGGCGCTTGGGCATAGATAAGCCCCATCGTGGCAGCCACGTTGCCTCACAACTATGTCTGTTGCAATGCATAAGCTCCATAATTACATTTGTTGACAAAACATCACATCTGAAAGTCAACAGCTGCATATACACATATGTGTTTAATTAAGAGAGCAAAGCAGCCTTTAAAAGAAGACTAAAATGGGAATGGCTGATGTGACTCCATCCAACTCTGCAACTATGTGGCTTTAGGCCGAGTGTCTTACTTAACTTCTTGATGTCTTTCTGCTTCATATTTGCCTCACCCACCTAACGGGACTGTAAGGATTTCATTCCTTGAATAAGCCATTGTGTTAAGAATTTCACATGCATTGCCTTAACCTTCACAACAACTCTGTAAATGTGGTGTGATTACTATCCTCATTTTACCAGGGGAGAAAATGAGGCCTACACAAGTTAAGTTTCTTGCCCAAAGTATCACACTAGCATTTCAAGCTAGAATTCATTTCCCTGAGAGCTGGTCCAGAGACTGTGCTCCTAAAAACCACCCCACGACAGAGCTCTGTTCTAAGGATTCAGAGAGGTAATAACGGGAACACCAGAAGTAAGGTGTTAACAAATTGAAAAATCCTAAGTGTCCCAGCTGTTTGGGGGCAAAGGTAAACTTTAAGACAAACACTCACATAAAGAAATATTCCGCCAGTGTCCTCCTAACAAAGGCATCATAGTTGCATGAACACCTGCTGATTTTATCATGTCTGTCTCTAGCAAGGTAGAGGAAACATTACTTATGACAGTTACAAACATAAGGGCAGCTATATGTCTATGGCCACCTCAGGTCACTCTTTCCAGCAAAGGGTTTATCTAAAACGATGCGCAAATAGCAAGCTATTTCTATAACACGGGCAGCAAAATAGAGCTTTCAACTTGTCACACACCAGATCAAATTTGCACTTCCTGTAACTCTGCAGTAAATGACTTGCCACTTTGCATTGACATGACTTGTTATGTGAGCCCATGGCATATCCAATTATAACTTTAGGGAAATGTATTCTGGAGGCATCTTCTATTACCTATAGATCAGTGGAAGGCAGAGACTCCTCTATAGTAAGCAATATGTGCACGTGCAATCCTGATACAGCATAGAGTGTCTTTTATGGAAAATAAATTGTGCTGAATTCTTAAAAGCAAAAATCTATCCAGCAGAAGATACGATATTCATACTAAGGTGGTGACTCCATACTTAAAATAAGGGGAGAATAGAGGATTTATACAGTTTACCTTGACTCAACAGTGAACTTAAATATTTCTGATCAAAACCCATCCCATCTTTTCCATCCTTGAATTGCAGGAATTTGAACCTCAGTTATTTCTATCCCATTTTAAGGGTACAGAGATGGGAAACATCATTTTTCACCCTTCAGATGACATATATGTATGAGGCAACCTTTGCAAGATATTCAGCACTCTGCCTGACACACAATAGATGCTCAGGAAATATTAGTCCCCCATTTCTTCAGGGTATATTTAGATGTGTCATTAATATCACAGAGTTCCTAATAATGAGCTTGAACTTGTCCTGTAACTTTAGCTTTGTAGGATTTTATGGAACAAATTGAAATTATGATAATGTTTAGTATACATGTTAAAAAGTGACTTCTATTTTCAATATACCTTCATCACACCTTAAGAATTCTGACAAACCTTGGGGCACCTGGGTGGCTCAGTCGGTTGAGCGCCCCACTCCAGCTTAGGTCATGATCTCACAGTCTGTGAGTTCGAGCCCCGCGTCGGGCTCTGTGCTGACAGCTCAGAGCCTGGAGCCTGCTTCAGATTCTGTGTCTCCCTCTCTCTCTCTGCCCCTCCCCCCGTTCATGCTCTGTCTCTCTCTGTCTCAAAAATAAATAAGAACATTAAAAAAAAATTTTTTTTAAAGAATTCTGACAGACCACTATTGAGAGTCAGCTCAATATTTGGTGACTAAAGTGTTCATTAGGAACCAAAAAACAGGGGGGCATTGGGTAACTCACTCTGTTAAGCATCTGACTCAATTTCATCTCAGGTCATGATCTTATGGTTTGGTTCTTAAGTTCGATCCCTGCATCAGGCTCTGTGCTGATAGCATGGAGCCTGCTTGGGATTCTCAGTTTTCCTCTCTCTGTGCCTCCCCCATTCCCTCTCTCCCTCTCTCTCTCTCTCTCTCTCTCTTGCTCAAAATTAAATAA